AAACCCCTTTGGGGGGGGCAGCTCCCCCTTTTTGGGGTTTGGGAAAATCCCCCGGGGGTTTTCCCTTTTGGTATTTGAGACCCTTGTCCGGGGAAAACCCGGGGTTTTCCCTCCCGGTTTTTGGGGGGGGGGGGGGAAATGGTTTAAAGGATTCGGCCTCCCCGGTTTTGGGTCCCCCCCCCCCCCCCCCCCCCCCCAATACTCTCGAGGATGCGAGGTCAATAGTCCAACCGCTAATGCATGCAAAACATGAGTACCCCCCTTCCCCTCTGCGCCCCCCCGGCAGGTGCGATGGCACCTGGGGGCTGGCAATCCTCAACAAGGCGGACCCGGACAACATCGTCGTGGCGTGCAACGGGTCACCGATGGTGATTGGCCTGGCCCAGGGGGAGATTTTCGTGGCTTCGGAGACAGCGGCCTTCAGCAGGCACACCAAGAATTTCATCGCCATGAAGGTGCAAGGAGGAGAAGTTTTTTTTTCTGTTTCCGCTCTACTGCTGTTCGGGCGACAGTCTCCACATACCTACGTTTCTGCGGAGAATCTCCACAAACCTGCGTTTCTGCGGAGAATCATTTTTCTGCTCTACTGCTGTTCGGGCGACAGTCTGCGCACCTTGTCGCGGCTGACGTATTTGCTGGGCTCTCGCGCAGGAGCCCAATTTTGTTTTTTCTGAGGCTGAGGACATGGTGGTAGGTGGTGAAGGTGTTTTCATCGTAATTTGTAGGAGTGGGCGCATGTTTCCGGCAGCGGTAACAGAGTCTCATGAAAAGACAAAAAACACCAAACGAATAATAGTCTCATGAAACGATAAAACACCAAGCGAGTAGCAGCAGTCTCATGAAAAAGATAAAAACACCAAACGAGCGACTGTCTCACTCTCTCCTACTCGATGGATCGATCCTCCGCGCCTCAAACAAAAAGGACGGGGAGATTGGCGTCATCGGCACAGGCGGCTGCTCTCTCGACGTATCTCGGATGGAGAAGTCGTCGCACACGGAGGACATCCTGCTCTCACCCGCGCCGTACGCGCACTGGACCATCATGGAGTGTCTCCAGCAGCCGGAGGCGATTGCCCGAGCCCTGGCCTTCGGAGGTGCAATATTGCCCGTGTGCAGAATTTTTTCGTGTACGGAAAGCGTTAATGACAGACCTAATTCTCTCGAATGATGACTAAATGCATCGAATTTGTGTTTAGGTGCACGCTTGGAATGTAGTCTTTATCGTGCCACGTGCCTACGACAAGCGCCCGCCGGGTAGCGTTGTACGTGCAGTGTAGCAGAATGTTCTGCCTGATCCTCCGGAGGGGCGATAGCCTGTGTACAGCTAAATAGCTGTTGGCACGTGCAGGGTGGTAGACTTTTGCGTCTTGATTCTTGAGAGGTGCGATAGCCCGTGTACACATCTATGTATGTAGCTGGTGGCACGTGTAAATAGCAGACTTTTTTTGTCCAAGCCAGGGGTGGTCGTGCGTTGACGTTCTCGTGTCTCTCGTCAATGCCGGGCGCTGCTGCTTGTGTTGCTTTTTGTGGTTCGCCCTGTATGCCTATTGGTCCATTGCACACATAGAGTTGGTGGGGTACATTTGTTCTGTTCTTTTTGTGGTATAGGTTTTCCAATGCCATGCACAAGGTGGTGGTCATTCATTTTGACTTCTGTCGGGGTCGAATTAATTGTTGGTTGTCTCCATCACGCATCATTACCCCGGTCTCTCGAAGCCCCCGGCAACCGTTACAGGCACCAGACCCCCCCTGCCCTTGCGCTGTTTCTTCGCACCAGCCAAAGGATCGTGCGCACTCTCTTACCCCTGCTCTCGTCTTGACTTGGCCGTCGTCGGTCCGATTCTTTCTCACAGGGCGCATGAGCGAGGACCGGGTGGTTCTGGGCGGTTTCGACCGTTCCGCTTCAAGGCTGTCGCTGGTGAAGAACCTGGTTCTCGCCGCGTGCGGGACGTCTCTGTACGCTTCGATGTACGGCGCGAAGCTGATGAGAGACCTGGAGGCGCTCGACACCGCCACGGTGAGGGAGAGGGGGAGGGGTAGCAGTAGCCACATTGCAGCAGCAGCAGTAGCAGTGGTAGTGGTGGAAATAGTCGTAGCAGTGTGGTTGAAATAGCCGTGGAGCAACAGCAGCTGCAGTGATCGTAGTAGAGTAGGAGGCGTAATGGTAGGATAGTAGCAGTAGCAGTAGCAGTAGCAGTAGCAGTAGCAGTAGTACAAGTAGTGGTGGTAGTAGCAGCAGCAGCAACGGCGGTGGTACTTCGGCAGTGGTAGAAGCAATCGGAGCAGCAGTAACAGCTGCATCAGCAGCAGCTGATGGTTTTGTTGCGCCAGCCAGCCAGCCGTCCGTTCGCAAACACTGGGAGCGTCGCCGCCAAAACGCATCCACAGTCCATAGTCCGGCCCACTGCAAGAAAGGAGCACTATCTTCTCAAACAACAACACAGGGCTACGCAGAAAACTTTCTCTCCTTCCCCTGCCGCGCGTGCGTGCGGTGTAAAATAAAAACGAAGGCCATGGACGCGGGGGAACTCCGCCTGACCGACATCCCGAGGCGGCACGGCGGGTTTCTTGCCGTTTCGCAGAGCGGCGAGACCCGCGACCTCCTCAAGGCGCTCAAGCACGCCGAGCTGGCCGGGGTGGCCCGCATGTCGGTCGTGAACGCCGTGGGGTCTGCCATCGCCAGGGAGACGGTGAGTGGGGTGGGCTGAAGCCGCTGCTGCTAGCCGCTGCTGCTGAAAAGGAAGCGCCTCTCTCGCTTGATTGAAACAGGAAGCTCAGCAGCATATGGGCATCCTAGCAACCGAGAAGTTGCTCGCAAGAAGCCTTTTTCGTCGTTTCTCTATTAATGACGCGGCGGCGGCGGTGGCGGCGGCGGCGGCGTTTCTCGCTTTACTTGTGCGGTGTAGGGAAGGCGGTCGTTTTGTGTGTCGTGTGCGGGTGGGAGCGGTCGTTAATGGTGCCGTGTGCTGGTGAGAGAGAGAAAGGTGTGTGTCTCCTTGCAACGCTTCCGTCAATTGCGTTAGATTCGTGGAGTGCAAACTCAGGTTGGGGCCCAACGAGGCATCCGTGCGCCTGCGACAAGGGCTGCGCCTTGCGTTTGTTTGCACTGCTTTTTTCCGGCCTCTTTTTCCTAGCGGCGCTGGAGCATAGACGGCGGTGAAAAGCGAGAGCCATTTGTATATGTACCACATCTGATGGGCGGCGTTTGGTGGAGTTTCTGCGCACGGAGTGAATGTCTTGTGTTCTGCATCGTGGGGCCCTGTTTCGCCTACCTCTTGATAGGCCTTGGTACTTACGTGTCGTCGAATGTGTTGGGCTTATTCTGTCGTCCTGCTGCTGAAGCGTGTCTTTGCCTCCCCTGAATCTCGACGCCAAACGTTGGTTTCGGCAACCGTTACGACGTCAGACGGAAGCCTTCCGCTAACACTTGTTTCCTGCTCTCGCTGCCCCCCCCACTACCACCACCAGAAACTCGGCGTGTACCTGAACGCTGGGCGGGAGACGGCGGTGGCTTCCACCAAAGCTTTCACCACTCAGGTGATTTGTTCACCAAGTTGGCGAGATAACTAGGTCTGCTTTACCGCATGCCTTGAGTGGCAGGCACCCTTGGTCTCACACACGACGTCTGGCTGCTGCAGTAACTAGCGGCCGTGCGCTTGTTTTTGGACGATGCGTCTCTTTCTCGTGCGTTTTCGTGCACGCCGTCATGTGCTCATGCGGGCACATGCATCACCCGAATCCGAGTAGATCGTACTTTTGTGGTTTTGGTAGCCAACTCGTTTTTTCATGCCCCCTCCCCCCCCCCCACTTGATGATGTGAGAGCCTGGTCCGGTGAGAACCCGGCGTGCTCCGTCCTGGCTTTGTAGGGATGCGAGATAAATTGTCACGCGTCTACGGCATGCACGACTATGAATACCCCCCCCCC